GGGGGTGAACTCCTCAGGCTTCTCTTGGGGGTGGGGCAGGTACTTGCCCAAGAGGAGAGAGAACTGTGGATAGAGTGTGATTATGAAGTGATGAATTCTTGGCACCTCAGGAAATATTCCACCCAAGTGGTGAACTATATAAAGAGGACTTTTGGAAAGGCACCTCATAAATTGTGCCCACAAAACGTACACACAAGCCCGGTCCTTTTTCAGCTGCTTCGCAGGTGCCTAACACAGTCTCTCATTTGTGGGGTCTGTTGTTGTAAAACCCTTTCCCTCCTGTGGTGTCAGAGTGTCATGGAGAGGACAGCAGGAGAGCAATCTACTCATTTAGCCTCCCAGGATCCCTGGGCATCTTGAAGATTCTGGAATATAGGGAAAAGTGGGCTCCCCCTGGAGACAGACACCTTAACACTGAGACTGACTTGTTGAATTACCTGGAAAAGGGACATCCCATTCCCTCTCTAAGCCTGTTTCCACATTTTTAAAGAGAATAGGTTAGGCTAGGTCAGTGGGTCACAGCTGGGGCAATTTTAACCCCCTCCCATTGGACATTTGACAATGTCTGGAAACAATTTTATTATCATGACCAGGGCAGGGGAGCTGTTGATATCTGGTCAGTTGAGGCTCCAGATGCTGCTAAACATCCTACAGGATTTCTCATACATCGAAGAATTGCCTGTCCCCAAATGTCAATAGTGCCACTATTGAGGAACCTTAGACTGGGTGATCTTGAAGATCCTATGTAGCTCTATTTGTCTGTGCAGCCATTGGATCTTTGACAGATCTTCTTTCTGGTGCTGGATCTAGATAAGTTTCTAATAGTGACCACCGTAGTACAGCATGATTCTCGCTAAGACTGGTGTTCAGTGTGACCTTGATCCTGAGGAGTCATTATAATAATTCTTTATGATAGTAGCTGTCATTTATTGGAAGCTTACTCTGTGCCAGGCATTGGGCATGTCTCATACTTAATCTCCCAACCCTCTTATGAGGGTAAGATCATCAACACTATTCTAGAGATGGGAAAAAATGAGACAGAGAAGTTCTGACTTGGGGGCATATATAATCAAGCTTTGATGAAAAAAAGAAGCAGAAAGGGCAGGATTTCCAAGTATCATGAAAAGANAATCAAGCTTTGATGAAAAAAAGAAGCAGAAAGGGCAGGATTTCCAAGTATCATGAAAAGAGTATGAGAGGGTTAGAGAAGCAAGAAAGCAGTTGGAGAGGGATAGGGTTCAGGCCTAGATTCAATGCCCAAGTCCAAAGGTGAACTTGCTGTTTGACCTTGGTTAACTAATCTCATTTCACTGAGTCTCGCTTGGGTTCTTCACCCATTAAATGGGTGTTGAAAGAAGAATATGTTCAGGACTGCTATGAAGATTAAATTAAAAAATTTTAAATGTTTAAAAAGTACACACCCAGTATCTAGCACACGATAAGTATCAGTAAATTTTAGTTGTTATTTTTATCATTGCTTTAATAATTTTTATTTGGTCAGAGTCCCAGTTCTGGTGACCTTCTAACTCCTAGGGCTCCCATATACTAGAAGTAAAAATGACAAATCAAAGGTTATATCCGTTTTATTTTTTTACACATTGCACAGTTGAAGAGGAGAGGTTCTAAGCTAACTTTTGAATA